TTAATGGCTAAGGAAGAAACTGTGCTACAGGGCATGATTGATAGACTAATTGAAATTGGAAGGTGCTATGGCATGGAAATGAATGTGGAGAAAACAAAAGTAATGAAAATTTCGAGACAACCAACCCCAGTCACAATAAAGATAGACCAAAAACAACTGGAGAATGTGAAATGTTTTAAATATTTGGGTAGCTTGTTAACAGATGATGAAAGGTGTACTAGTGAAATTAAATCCAGGATTGCCATGGCAAAAGCTGCATTTAGCAAGAAGAAGAATCTTTTTACCAGAAAATTGGACTTAAATTTGAGGAAGAAACTAGTGAAATGCTACATTTGGAGAATAGCTCTGTATGGGGCTGAAACATGGACACTTAGGGCAGTAGATCAGAAACATCTGGAAAGTTTTGAAATGTGGTGTTGGAGAAGGATGGAGAAGATCAGTTGGACCGATTTGGATCAGTTGGAGAAAGCTGTAGATCGCATTAAGTGGAGGAATTGTTTTGGAAGAGACTGTGGACCTGTCGTCTTGACAGATTACTGATGATGATAGTATTTCCAAAATATCTGAACTGCGCCACATTATGAAAGGATGTGATAACTACCTTTATTTATGTCACGATTTTGCCCTGCATCCTGATGACGAGAAAGCAACGTGTACTTAGTTTTCTCTGTGTTTACTTCTAGACCAACCTCTTTACTTGCGTCAATTAAAGTTTCTGTGTTTTTTTCTTATGGTATCTACATTATCACCCAGTAAATTCACATCACCAGCATAGACCAGCAGCTGATATGTCGCATTAAATTTCAGTCCCACCTGGTCTTCCTGGACCTTCCTAATAGTATATTCTACAGCAAAGTTGAAAAAAAATGGCGATAAAGCATCTCCTTGTTTTAGACTAGTTTGTATAGGAAAATTATCAGACAGATGTTCACCTGTATGGACTTTACTGTATATTTCGTTTAAACACATTTTAGTAATTTTCCATGGATAAAGTCCAAAAACCCAATATATCAGTGTGTTATACACCATCGTCAGAATCCTATAGTAACTACATTTTAGTAAGCCTAACTATTTTCATTTTTACCTCGAATTCTATCAGCATATTGTATAATACTTCCCTCCTAACTGAACCACAGGCTTTCTTGAAGTCTATGAATAACAGATGCACTGTCTCACTGTATTCTCATTTTTTCTCCAGTATCTAACGAATACAAAAAAAAAAGTCTGATCAGTAGTTGATCTGTTATGTCGAAACCCACACTGATGATCCCCAGTAATACTGACTGAGAAGTATTTCAGACGTCCCCTTGTTGGTATGGAATCTGAATATTCATCATAATCTCCATAATAACGCGTCATTGTGCCTTTTTTTTTTTCCTTGGCACTACAGCCCCAGTGAGCCTAGGCCTACCTCCATGAACTTCTCCGTTCACTTCGGTTTTTCTAGATCCTACACATTCGGTAGGACTCCTTGGGCGAGTGATCAGCTCGTCGCAAGGCCTCTACCTGCCGACAAACACAGAAACACGCACACAAACATCCATGCCCCGAGTGGGATCCGAACCCACGATCCCGGCTTCCGAGCGAACGAAGACAGTGCATGCCTTAGACCGCTCGGCTACCGTGACCGGCGTCATTGTGCCTTATCCGTAGCTATATCAATCCCGTTCACATTTCTACAACCGGTTTTCCCCAGTATAACTTATCGACTTAAGCTTCCATCTACATTTCTGTTTTACAGACGGTCTATTTTTGTGAGATTTCCCTGCCAAAATACAATGTACACCCTTTGTTTCCTAATTAGCGCTATGTACCCTGCACATCTCAAACTAAGTGATGCGATCACTCTTCAATAAAAGTGATGAGAAGTGTTGAAGATAACTGGTTTTAGATCCAGACGGCCTTCTCAGCACTCTCCGATCCATGCTCTCCATACAAAATGAAAACCGAAATTTCAAAACCTCTTCTTTTAAATTCACTTTACGTGCAATTATTAACAATACTGCTTTGTTTTTTGGAGGTGTTCACTTCATTTCCGTCAGAGGTCGATTGTTCTGGCTAAGGCATCCCTGGAATTCTCAGTCCAACGAAGCAAATTCTATTTGAAAATGTGCCACGACCGCTTATCTTGTTATCATTTCCAGTTCACTGTTCATGGTTACCGTATCATTTATTAGTCTATCCTACATGATTAAATTGACAACGAGTATTTAAATAAACGAACAGCTTAAAGTGTGTCGGCCTATCATAATTTGTATGAAATACTGATGTGTGTCCGATCTTGGCGCTTATGAAGGATGGGTATGTGCGCCTTGAGTACATCGTAGACTACACTCATAACACGTGCCGGATAACTGACCATCTACAGAGTATTGTAATTAATTACGAGTGTATTTAAAAAGGTGACGGGAAGAGAAGCAGAAGGATAATTGTAATTAAAATATAAAGTGAAGGAAATTCTACGCATAAACTGAACGATATGGCAAATGAATGCATGTGTAGATCATCTCTTCGCAAAGTGAACAAGGATGAGCAGAGTGGAATATAAACCACACGTGAGACAAATAACAAATGGGCACATCGTAATCGTTTTAAATCCTGGACAGAAGAAACCATCTGGAAAACCCATTCGTCAGTGTAATGATAATACTAGATTGGATTTTATATAAGTGGGATATGAGGATGTGGTCTGAATTCAGCCAGATTAGGACAGGGACCAGTGGCAAGCTCTTCTGAATACAGTAATGAACCTTTAGGTTACGTAAACAGTGGGCGATTTCTTGACTAGCTGAGCGACTACTGGCTTTTCAAAGACTATGATCCATGAAATTTGTTTATTTATTTAACATTCGCAGAATAGTCAGTGTAGCTGAGTCTTCTTTAAAAGTATTAATCAATTAATCATACTAAAATCATGGACTCTTTCAATTCTCGAGTAAGAAAAAAAAATAATTTTCTTCTAAACACGGCGTAGCAGAACTGATGTGTCAGAGAAATTCAGTTTCCTTGAACCTCTCCAATGCCATCTGTTAGTTGCTGCTCAATTATTGCGCAGGTTATTTGCTTCTGTCGTTATGCCATATTAAACCGATAATAAAATGAACGAGTTTGGGAATTCGCAGGTGATCTGATGCTTATCTTTTAATTATCTCGGAAACAGCAAGAGTTACTTAAAATGCTATTGATAACCAATATTTTCTGTATAAATAGTGTGCCAACTGGTCCCTTCCATTGTCTATCAAGTTCCNAAATAAGTAATCATAGACTGTGTTGTTAAACAAAAAACATTTTCCCCGGCTTGAGATATATATATATATATATATGTTCTCTTTTGATTTACCTCGACCATATTGGGGAATAATGCACTTACATCGTTTATTCTTGCCATGTAGAAGAACCTCCTGCGAAATAAAATTATAAATAATTAATACAAATACTTCCATTGTTTATTAAACTGAAACTCTGGATAGCAAAGGCCGGTTCATTTTTATATTAAAAGATAAGCTTCCTATTTCGTAAATAGATAGATTTAAACAGTCGAATACTTCGAATTCACTTACAATTAAAAATGTTTATGCATTTGGAGCTGAAGCCTGTCTAATTACCACAGATAATATTGTTAAGTAAAAGGACAATTATCATTATCTTATCTTCACATTCTGACACGTTTAACCAATTATGTCATTAGCTTATCTCTAGCTTTTATCAAGGGGAATAGATTATTTGCATCTGCTCAAGAGACTAATATTAATGCAGGGATTTGTCCTTTATCTCCCATAAATGTACATCCCCTTGAAGCTGAAAATCAATTTGAACAAGGTGGTCTGCTAAAAATACAAGCAGTTGGCTCTGCTATTAGAATATGCACTTACAACGTGCCCCCGTACAACGTTACCCAGCGTCATGATTTCGTGAGTAGCAACCTTTCCTCTTATTCGGCAAGTCCCGCTTTGAGATCGCAGTCCGGAGACTGGCTGTCGCGACTGAAGGTTTTCCCCATTTTTCTGTCTCCCAACGCAATTCTCAATATAGTTCCTCAAATTAGGCCACGATCGATTGCTTCCACATCCTCTGTTATTAATTTTCCACTAATAATCCCACAACTCGACCTCTATTTTCTGAGCTACTGATAGCGCCTTCAGATAAACCTTATGCAAATAAGTAAACGCCACATGAATTTTCGTAACAAGATGACTCATTTCATAATTTTTCATTTTTTCTAAAAACATATTTGCATAATATGAAACTCACCATAAAATAAAAAAAAATGCATATTTTTGTTGGCATTTCAAGTGCGTTCAGATATTTTATCTGTGAAATTAACAATTGGGATTGTCACGACTTGCTCCCATGTCAAACCCACTGTGCTCTTTTGAGTGGAGTAGAAAGCCGAGGGCGATATTCTAAAAAAATGTTCTAGGGTCATTGTGTAATTTATCTAGTATTTTTAGCCGATTTAACCAAAATCGAATTTTGTCCAGAGTTTTAGTAAAACTCTCCAATATAAACTGCCAAGGATATCCATTAAGGGGGATAAGAAATGTTTCATGCGGATAGACAGACAGGCAGACAAACATGACGAAGCTAATAGGTGCTTCTTGCAATTCTTGCGAACGCCCCTGAAAACCGTGCGCTGAATGGTGTGGTCCTTATTTCCACCTGACAGATGTTCACACTGCCGTCATGTTCGTGTTTTTACTGATAAGAAATTAAAACCTACCAGGATTAATAAGTCTCAAAAGACAAAGCTTCACGAAAATCTGTGACTTAGTGTTTGTATTATTGGTGTCTATAGCTGAAATCTTAAAATAATATTGATGTTATAGTAGTTGAAAACTTAAAAGAGAAATGGTGTTCTAAATATATTTACCTTACTTGATGCACATCTTGATGTTTGAAATGTCTGAAGTAAGAGAGCCAGCCGCGTGAATGTTGACATATACGTAGTATTACGCTGCAACGAGAAACATGTTCACTGAAAACCCAACATAGTAAAATGAAGAAATTGTGGACACATTTAGCCCTTTTCTTTTCCTCAAAATATTGGAGAAAGCAATGACTTTTGCTTATTATTACTGCGACATGAGGGCTAATGTTTTGAATGTTACTGACATTCCTTCTTCCTTTTGTTTCTAGGCTTTCTGCTGCGCCTTTTAGGTTTCTCTGATGACCCATTAAGTATTCTCTCCCTAGTATATGCGGCGATAGTTGCAACTAAAACCCCAGGAACAACACGCCTTAAAACTAATTTGCGGACAGTTGCAAACATTGCACGCTGTGCCTGCGAAACTATACAAATGATTCCCGCACTCTGTCTGCACTCTGTCTGCACTCTGTCACTAAACGTCAGGAGTACTGTTATCTTCACAGGGTTTGGTTGAGCTATCAAAGTCGTGGCGTAAGCCCAAAGATAGGTCTATAGCCTGTTCCCAGCACCAGCTGCACCATTTACAATGTGATATTTCAGAATACCGGGGAAGCGAAGGCCGGGTTTCTTCTCCTGGAAAGGGATGGGCATTTACTTTTTCAAACTCAGCATGGCTTCCCCTCTAAAGGGTACCGAGGCCTTTCACCCGGCCTGATCGTGATTTCCTCCATTCAGTGACAGAGCTTAAGAAATATGTACATGGAGCTCTATTCCTGCATTACAAATACATTTTTATGGCTAACGTTTGCACCCGGGTATAACTGTAACTCATGACAATGCGTTGAGGGACAGGACACTGGTGAACTACAGTAGGAAAAGTTGTTGAAGCCTAAGTGTTTGTTTCCTTAAAGCTCACGCCAATTTTTTCGTATTACAAGTATGCGAGCATTTAAACCATATCGGCACTGCGTTATACAAATGAAGGGAAAATGTAATTTGGAATAATTAAATGTAAGCTTCCCATTTAAGAAGATGGTCCATGGCATCATGCTACATGCCCTTCCCCCGTCATCCTCCTTGACTTGATCATTGTAAATATACTTGGAGAAGAGTACAGGTTACGAAGCTCCTCAATATGCAGTTTTCTCCAACCTCCCTTCACTTCATCTTTCTTTGGTCAAAATATTCTCCTCAGCACCCTGTGTTGGTGTTATATCATCGTTCTGAATATTCACGCCCCAACAGAAGAGAAAATTGATTAATAAAGGACAGGTTCTATGAATAACTAGAACATGTATTTGATAAATTCCTGAAGTACCATATGAAAATTTTGTTAGGATATTTCAATGCCAAAGTAAGAAGGGAAGATATTTTCAATCCAACGATTGGGAATGAGAGTTTCTGCCAAGGAGAGTTAGATTATTATGAACTAAAGAAGCGTAAGCCATGGTTTGATGAAAAATGTTCAAAATTATTAGATCAAAGAACATAACCCAAATTTCAGTGGTTACATGATCAAAGCGAAATGAATGGGGATAATCTGAACAATATAAGACGCGAAACCAGCAGGCATTTCAGGAATAAGAAGAGGGAATATCTGAAAGACGAAATTGATGAGCTTGCAATGAACAGTAAGAAGAAGAACATTAGAGACCTGTATAGAGGAATAAATGACAGAACCTATTCCAGCAGAACTTATTCAAGCAGGAGGCTAAATATTACATTCTAAGATCCACAAGCTAATTAATTCTATTTGACATAAGGAAAAATTGTGTCTATTATTGTACCAGTTCACAAGAAGGGTGATGAAACTGACTGAAGAATTTATTGGGGGATTGGACCGATTATGTGAGAAATGAAGAAGTGTTCATTAGAATCAGTNAGTTTATTGGGGGATATTACTGCTATCAACTTCATACACAATTTTATTCAATACTCTTGTATCAATGTTACGTCCATACAGAGATGAAATTATTGGGGATTATCAGTGTGGGTTTCAACATAACAGATCAACTACTGATTGGCTCTTTTGCATTTGTCAGATAACTGGAGAAAATGGTAATAGAAATGATTCAGTTAAGGGGGAAGTATTGTACAATATTCTCATAGAGTTAGGGATACTCGTGAAACTAATCAGGCTGATTAAAATGTTTTTAAACGAAGTGTATTGTACAGTCAGTATAGGTAGATATTTGTCTGATAATTTCCCTATTCTGAATAATCTAAAGAAGGAGATGCTTTATCACCACTCCTTTTCAACTTTACTTTAGAATATGCCATTAGGAAGGTCTAGGAAAACCAGGAGGGACTGATATTGAAGGGGACACATCAGCTGTTGATCTATTCTGATGTGAATCTACTGGGTGATAATATAGATACCATAAAGAGAAAAAAAAACTTTAACTTATGCAAGTAAGGAGGTTGGTCTAGAAGTAAACACAGATAAAACTAAGTATATGTTGCTCCCTTGTCAACAGAATGCAAGGTAAAATCATGACATAAAGATAGTCAACAGATGTTTTGAAAATGTGGCACAGTTCAGATGTTTATGAATGACTATAACAAATCAAAACCTGATTCAGGAGAAAATTAAGAGGAGGCTGAATTCGGTTAGGCTTGATACCCTTCAGTCAGGAACCTTTTGTCTCCTGATCTGCTGTCTAAAAGCTTAAAAATTAGAATATACAAAACTATAATTTTGTCTATGGTTCTGCTGTACGAAAATTTGTATCTTGCCTTCGAATTTGAGGTCCTACAATATCCACTAATAAGGAAAACTTTCAATGATCATTCTGTAAAATGATTTGCACAGTTCTGTAGCCTGATTAAATTATTTTGGAACAATATAAACACCTGAGTTTAAATTGTAGAGAAAGAACGGGTGTACCGAATGTTTCCTTTTCTCCTGTATTTTCATCTTACGCCGTCTGAAACACCACCATATCATTACAGGAACAGTATTATTATCTGACATTGCAGAAGAGAAGTGCGCGAAATTGGCGGGCAAACCCATCCACTTGAGATGATGTGAGCAACTAATCGAACGTAAGTTTCCTCAGTGTGCACCTGCTAATTTGGAAACCAGTTGCCTGCTTTAAATCGACGATATTTCTCGGAAATCGCTGTTGCATTGCGGTTGCCAGTTTCCTTTGTGTGTGCCCGGCCGGTGAAGTGGCGAAGTAAAGACCCGTGTTTAATAGCAACTGCTGCAGTACTTCCGCAACGTTCCGTAATCCGTGAACTGTGTTATTAACCGTGTGGCGCCGTGTAGTTAGCGGTGGTTGGCATGTGTGACGTGACAGGTGGATAAGGTGTTTATGGGAAGTTGGAAGTAGAATAAGAAAGTCGATTCGTATTACGTTAGATTTTCGGTTGTGCACATTAGTGACTTGTATGTTGGCCGGTATAAAATTATTACAGTATATAAACTTGGAAATTTCTCAATAATGTACTGTATTATATGATGTTGAAAATCTTTTTTCATAAAATAATCTATTTTGCAGATGTTGTGCTTGAAGTTCAGGGGCGAAGAGCATGGCAGTTGTAATTGAAACGACGCTTGGGGATGTTACAATTGATCTGTTTATAGAAGAAAGGCCGCGCAGTAAGTAAATACGTTTGGATAACGTTTGCTCAGTTTGTTTAACCACACAGCCACCACAGTACATATAAACTCCGCATTCGTTTGTGAAGCTGTTGTTCAGTTTCCAGTCGAGACCAGTATGGTCAACATGAGGTTAGTTTGAATTTTGAATTTGAATTTAAATTTATATACGTTCCGTAAATCTAAGTACAGGTTGACACCATAGGATATGGAACAAGTCAGGTACAAATACATAATATCCATACAATAATAGTTTTGCTTGAATAGTTAATAAGATTATAATATAGAATTAACATTACTGTGCTAATTGGGTACATACAGCACAGTCTGCAGATAATCAAAATGATGCAGTAAAATGCTTGACAATACGCTTTAGCTTAGAATTGATACTAGCTACTGTTTGTTTACATTGAAATGTTCATGTATGGAGTAGAAGGAGTGAGTAAGTAAGTAATATTTCGATACTTATTTACTCATGGAGCTGAACCCTTTTGGAGGAGCTACCAATTCTGCAGCTACTCAAGAATTTCCCAGCATTTTATGGAACCCAAAGGTTCATTACTGTGTTCACAAGAGCCCTCCACTGGTACCTACCCTGAGCCAGATCAATTCAATCCATACCATCCCATCCTATCTCTCTCAAGATCCATCTTGATATTGTCCATCCACCTATGCCTTGGTCTTCCCAGTGGTCTCTTTCCTTCTGGCTTTCCCACCAATATCCTATACGCATGCTCTTTTAAATTGCTTAATATTACCTGTTGCTTTTTTGATACATTGAGGGAGGCTATTGAATACTTTGATGCCGAAGGAATGAATTCCTTTTTGACATAGAAGTAGATTTGCTGAATGTTTGTGGAAGTTGAGTTTTTGCCTTGTATTTATGTTATGGGTGTCAGAATTTAAATTGTACATGCTTCTGTTGTGTACCACAAATAATATGAGTGAGAGTATGTATTGTAACTGACATGGTAATCTTTTTAAGTTTTTAAATGAAGCTATGCAAGAATCTCTATTCTTGCTTCTTGGCTCTGTGCCATTTATTTATTTGAATACAGTCATTATGTCACTTATAAAATCTGTGGGTTTAGAGTTGTTAACTATTATACTAGTATCATCTGCAGACAGAATTAGTTTAGATTTATTCTTAACAAAGTTTGGTAAGTCATTGATATAGAGAAGAAATAGCAAAGGACCTAGTAAAGATCCTTGTGGGATGCCATGCCCTATTTTACCCCATTTTGAAGGTATCTGATGACTGAAGTTTATGTTTTTTATTTCCACCCTTTGATATCTATCCACAAGGTACAATTTAATCCACTTATTAGCTTTACCAGTTATTTTATACAAATTTTGTGATTTATGGAGTTTAACACTTTAGCTAGATCACGGGAGATCCCACCTACTAGTAATTTTTGTCAAGGACACCTATGATGTCATTACTTAGTTCATAGGTTGCTTTATCTGTTTTTAGATTTAGTGAGGTAATATAAGCAGAGCTGATTTTACATAATTTAGTTGATGTTTCATCGTATTCACATGTATTTTTAGGTTTAAGGGATTTAATGATGCTTTCAATTTCTTTTGTTGTTGAAAATTTGAGTTGTATGTTCAGGAAGGAGTTGTTAANTGTCAAGGACACCTATGATTTCATTACTTAGTTCATAGGTTGCTTTATCTGTTTTTAGATTTAGTGAGGTAATATAAGCAGAGCTGATTTTACATAATTTAGTTGATGTTTCATCATATCCACATGTATTTTTAGGTTTAAGGGATTTAATGATGCTTTCAATTTCTTTTGTTGTTGAAAATTTGAGTTGTATGTTCAGGAAGGAGTTGTTAAAGGCATGAGTCAGATTGTGTGATGGATCACTGTGTTTATCTTTGATATGACTAATACCATTATTATTATTATTATTATATATAAAAGAAAAGTAAAGGTGCCCCTGTAACAGGCTGTGAAGGCCTATAGGACTGTGAGAGGTCAAGGCTCCCAAACCTTCTAGATGGTTGGCTCATGGATAGCTGCAAGGTTATCAGCCATATGTGCCAGCTGCCCTTTATCCCCCAGGAAAATTTCTAGTACTCCTTTCTCTTGGAGGCTCAGTCAACCCCAGGGCCATAGTGCGGCTGGAAGGATTAGGTCAATTGAAAAAATTCTCTCCTGGCTTCCCCCGTACAGTTGTATATATGCTTCCTTCCCCTGTTTCTCCATGATCTGTTATACAAAATTAGTGAACTTTCTCTTGCATAATAATTTCCATATTCTTCCTGTTAGTATCAACACATCCTTCCATTTTCCTAGACAACTCCTATTCATAGGCTTTCCAGTTTTTGTTTAATTCTTCTCATCCAGCTGTTCCACCCTTCCTTCCTTCCTTTGCTGGCCCAGTCATTAGCATAAACTTTTGCACAGCATTGACATATTTTTACTTCATCAAGAGATTTTAAGTTGTGTATTGATATTCTACAGTTTTATGGGAATTATTGAACAAATTTGTTCAGGTAGTAATGCTTCAGACTTTGGGAGGTGCTGCGTTTTAATCAGCTGAGACACTGGTTTTTCTCAGGTCCTTCAAGAAGATACTGAGATAATATTTAAACATAAACCATGGTCCCTTCCACGCACATCCTTTTCCAGTCTATTATTTGCCAATCATCCATCATTTAATACTATGCAGTCTCATGTCTCTACAATGCTGTTAAATGAACTGTAAGAGCAGCCAGCATGCTTATTTCTCAGTCCTGCCACCATTAATGGTTTTTTAGAAATGCACAGGATTTAGATACCATTTAATCAATGTGTCCTGGAAAACAGAAGCTTGTTTGATGTAACAGAATTCTTTAGTTAATTCACTGGTTGAGATGTGAGGTTTCATTTTGTTGTAATATTGATTATTTGAGGTTGTTGTTAGCAAGGTGTAACATGTGGATGCCCAAAGTGTGATTTTTGCACCATTTGCTTCCACATTTTGCATGGATTTCAGGACTGTTCTGAAATTTTCTTTAAATATTAATGAGTATGAGCTTCCAAAATCTGACTCACCAGATATCTGTGGAGGGCATTTCGTTGTAGTGACAGTGTTGTATGGCAAAGGAACTTGAACCATTAAATGCAAGGAAACGTGACATTTGAAATGTATATAAATGCATCTGAGTTGGCAATAATTTTTTTTTTCAGCATGTCTCAACTTCCTGAAGCTTTGCAAGATAAAGTACTATAACTTGTGTCTGTTCCATTCGGTGCAGCACAACTTTCTGGCACAGACTGGTGACCCAACAGGCTCAGGGAAAAATGGCGAATCAGTGTTTGGGTGAGTACACTAAATGAATGGCACAGAACAGATTTATTATTGAGATGCTCATCACTTGGCTGGACCTTCTGTGGAAGGAACATGGAGTTTCATTGCCATGTTTACACAAGCCTACCACTGGACCTTGAGCCAAATCATTTCACTGCATATCCTCACACCCTATATATTTAACATCCATCTTTATATTATTTATTATTATAGTGGTCACAGTGAGATTCCATGTATTGTGTCAATGATGAAATGTAAAAACAGACAAACCAGTTGATACATGTTTGCAGCAAAATACATGGTGAAGGTTCACGGTTCTATGAAGCAGAGGTGATTCCCAAGCTGAAGCACACCAAGCCAGGGCTCCTGTCGATGGTCAACTGCGGTAACAACATGTAAGTAGACGGAAGAAAATCTGTTTGAATAATATTTGTATTAAGCTGTACTTGTTGGGTTTGAGATTCTCACAGTGCTGACACTGCTGAAATGTGGTGCTCTATATTTTGGTAGAACCCTGACATTACAGAGGAATATCACTGAACTTCTACTGGACAGCATGGCGTTGTGTCCCAGAAGGTAGTGCTCTTCGTGAGCTGTACTTGTTGATGGAGGAATTGTTGCAGTTTATATCAGTAATGTACCCATTGTTATGTATTGATAGAAATAACATTGAATTAATGAAAATTTCAGAATTACAGAATAAGTTTTATACATCCTGTGTATCTGTGTAAGTGTATAAGTTGTTTTCTTTTTATAATGGAACTTGCAAGTGCAAACTAAATTGCCATGGAGTATGTTTTCACAACGGTGTAATGAAGTTGAACTTTTCATTATATCAAACAAAGTAAGCATTTATATTACGATGGAGTATATTTAGTGGCATGCCAAAAAAGAAGAAAGAAAATAATTTTTATTGGGATATATTCTGTAAAAGTAAATGTAAAGTATATAAGATTTTTAACCATCATTCAATGTGATTGATAAGAGTTGTGTTTTTAATTTTTAATCTTTACATTTTTGGTCAAAATGACCATCTTCAGAAGGATATTACAACAAATATGGAAACTACCATGTCATAGATGTAAATATTATCTTTTAACTAATGCTAAGATTACATTCAATTTATTAAACATATAAAAATTATTACAAAAAGTCTGTTTTCAAAATAGTGTACAATATTTGTTTTAATCTAGGACCAATTTGGTTCGTGTCATTACACTTCTTCTCATTAATGGAAGATGAATATATTCCACAGTATGGTATCGTCTGATAATGAAGCTCTGTAATTATGTTTATTTATTTATTTATTTATTTTGTCTCTATAGATCATTGTTACATGATATAAGACAAGTCAGTTACTGTACATTGGCTGATTACAATAAGAGAATAAAGTTACAATACTTAAAATTGTTTACAGTAGTTAAGATTTCATATAGTGTGAGGTGGAATCCATATTAGGTCCCCTTGGCATGTCGGCTTCCATATGTCCTATTGCGCCTGTACTGGTGATAATGCTTATGGAGAATTTGATGGAATGAGGATTGGCAGGGGAAACTGAAGTACTCGGGGAAAACCTGCCCCAGCGCCACTTTGTCCATCACAAATCCCACTTGACTAGACCACAGCGGTGGGAAGCCAGTGATTAACCGCTTAAGCTGTGGCACAGCCTTTGAGATAATATAGGTGAATTTGGTGATAGCACTGGTGTAACGTTTCACTGTAGACTACACTGCAACATCTCATTACATTTGTTCTTCCTTCCTGGTGTAGCTTCTTGGTATCTGCAATCTCTCCAGAGGTATGGATATTATGTAGCATTTCTATAATCCAGTTTTTATTCAAATATGACTCTTTATTTTTAATCCCACCTTTGGTATGATGGTCCAGTTATACGGGCTGTACTGTCTTGTTATACTGTTCTAACGTGTGTTATGTCGTGTATGTATATGGTGGTCCAGTTATACAGGCTATGCTGTGTTGTTATACTGTTCTAATGTGTGTTATGTCGCGTATGTATATGGTGGTCCAGTTATACAGGCTATGCTGTGTTGTTATACTGTTCTAATGTGTGTTATGTCGCGTATGTATATGGTGGTCCAGTTATACAGGCTACACTGTGTTGTTATACTGTTCTAATGTGTCTTGTGTCATGTATTTATGCCCTTTATGCCTCATGACGTTTGTATGGGCGTGTACTGATGTTTTATTATGATGTCGGAACATACTGTTCTGATTATTGCTCTCCTTTGTAAGGTTTTGCTCTTCTATCAGTTTATTAATATTATTAAAATGATAAATATGAAAATTTTCTTTTATATTCATGAGATTCCCTTTTTTAACATGATCAACCGTTTCTATAATTGATGTCATAGGTCCATACTGGTGGCGTTTATTTAGTATGTGTTGGGTGAAGGCCAAATCGTCTTTGTTAAATCTTATGTTTCTCATGTGTTCTTTATATCTCATTGTCAGGTTTCTACCTGTTTGGCCAATGTATGCTTTATGACAACTTTGGCAAGTTATTTTTTATATCTCACTCTGTTCGTATGTGTTCATTTCTTGTTTCTCATTTGATAATTTACCTATGGTGGAAGTTGTTTTAAAGGCTATCTTTAGATTAGTGCCCATGAAAAGTTTTGTGATTTTCCGTATATAATTACCTTTGTAGGTAAATGTAAAACACAACTTATCAATTGCACTGGATGGTGATAAAAATCCTATATACAATTACTAATGTGACAGAGCAGGATGAACCAAGTAAAAGTAAAGTTTTCCATGTTCTTAATTAAGAGCACTTCATGAAGACAGGGGAGTTGAGGAATAAGCTCGTTATATTCTCATCCTGAGCACTGAATGGAAGTGAGTAATCAGCTTTTCACCCCAGTCACTATATCTCTTGGAAAAGAGCCCCTGGTACCCATTGGATGGCTCCAATGCTCATCTGGTTGCAGGGAGGAGAGAAAAATGTCTGTCCCTTTGTAATTGAAGTCAGAATTCGTGATTATTTAGCCTGTAATATGATTACTACTGGGGCATTGTATAGGAAGAAGAGAAAATGATGTTTACATTTCTGAATGACAATAGTCAAATTGTTTGATCTTTGTGTCTGGCTACTCTAGGTTGGGATCACAGTTCTTCATTACACTGGGCAGTGAGCTCCAGTCTCTTGACAGTGAGCACTGTGTTTTCGGGGAAGTTGTAGAAGGAAATGAGGTGCTCCTGAAACTGAATGAGGTGATATGTGACTCAGAACATCGGCCCTACCAGGACATCAGGTACAGCATTCTTGTGATTGTAGTAAGAGAAGACTGAATGGTTTTAGAATATGTCAGAAAGAAGGGTGAACCAGAACAAATGATATTGACATTTAAGAGCACTTAAAAGTTAGAGAAGTTTTGTGAGGCTGGATATGCAATATTTTGGTTTGGAGAAATGGAATGGAGATCAGGTTGTGCTCTTATGCTTCAGGATTACCCACACAGTTATCCTGGATGATCCATTTGATGACCCTCATGGCCTGCAAGTCCCGGACTGCTCCCCAGAGCCATCTCCTGGAGCCCTAATTGTGAGTCAGTGTGGTTATTATGAACAATACAAAACACAAAACCTATTGTTTCAGACTTAGGATGTAACTATGTTATAAAAAATGAGGCGTCTGTATTCGTTCAGATGGAGTCACTAGGGAAGTAATGCAGTTTTGTTGATAGTAACAAGTTCTAAGCAGAACTGAATGCCTGCATTCCCACTACATTGATTTCTATACATATGGCTCTGTTACTATAATTACTTTATTTTGCATGTGTATGAACTGCACCTAAACTTTCATTTCAAGAATTTACAGTGAATTATCTTGTAACCGTTCATTCTGATTGGAGGACTGTTGTGTGTTAATTAAATCTGTATTAAGTTAAGATTACAAAATTACAAACAAAGAGATCCGGCAGATAGCCAGCTCTTACACGCGGAAGGGACATAGTTCAAGTTTTGCTATGTGGACAGGAAGTAACATCTGGTACTTTCCTGGAATTCTGGCAGTTTCAGCAAAGTTGGAAAGTCTTTGAGAATTTGAGAGCTGACAGCTTGGGACAGCGATAACTTAGAAGTGGGATGGCCGGAGCCTCATACCCTGATCGTAATGCATCAAGGGGCTGTCAACCTTAGTGTCAGGTCAGCATCTGCCAGAATCACATAGCAAAGCAACATGATTGGAAATTCGAAATTTAGGGAACCTCCTAGTTTGAAAACTTAACCAATGGCAGAAATGGAGGAGTGGATTTCTCTTGGGGTCTGGGGTTCGTGGACCTCAGGATTAAGAGAGAGTGCATTCCACCAGGAGGAGTCTTCGTCCAACTTTCGGCAAAGTCAGACACAAAATTTACAACTACGGCCCTTCCGTAAAGTATTATAAGTAAAGTTCGAATTAAGTGTACTAATAAATTCAGTTGTATTCAATAAGCTGGAGGGAATTAAAGGACTACTAAGTGCAACGGTCTAAAGAGGTGTGTGTGATAGAAGTGAAAGGTTCTTCCTGCCCTGCCCGAGCCAGACCCATATAAGACCCGGGATATGAACTCAGCTCTACAAATTACCGAACAGAACCCAGATACTCCCGTCTTTACCTGCTCTCGCGTACCAGCTCCAACAACCACAATTCTCCTCCCTTCCCATCTAACTTCTCGACATCCACGAGAAGAGGGAGGACGGTGATAAGTGGGGCACAACGTAGGATCAAGGAGGACGGCAACAGCGTGGCGCACAATGTGAAGGGCCCAAAGAAGTGAGCGGTAACAATCTGTCATATGTAAGGTGCAATAGATCTTTCCTGTGTGAGATTTCAATTGCGTCACTTTGGTTCTCGCTAGCAGTGTTTACGGTAATTCATCAATGATGGTGTGGTCTTCTGACTTTCAGGAACTGATGGTGTTTGCTGCTGTCACGTAATCAAAATATACTGATATGCCAGTAGCATGGTGTGCCTGCACAAGGACAAGAGCTTTCCAGATAACACTCTTAATAATTAACCCATGTTGCTAAAAATGCATCCTGAAAAACAATTTATTTGGTGGAACCCCAAAAAACAAAATGCGCCACTTTCAGATACGATGGTAAAGAAAAAAGGAAAATTACAAAACTCTTTAAAGAAACACAAATGAAAATAACATTCTGAGCATGAAACACTTTGCAAGACATAGTAAAACCCCACTCACAAACAGATAAATACAAAAAAAGTGTCATTTACCAAATGACATGCCTAAACTCTCGACTAATACATAGGACAAACAAATTGAACATCCCATACTAGATATAACAAGCATATGCAGCCAGTCAGGAATAATAACAGCAGTCCTGTTAGGTAATGAATCTGAACTCTGGAAGCAGCAGTATTTTTGGACACCAAGACAAGATGAGACATATACTCTGTTGGGTACTGACTGTAATGCCATTAAGTTTGGAACAGTTAAACATCAATAGTCATTTTATTCAGACATCAGTTTTAAACCTCTGAACGTTTTCATACATCACATGTGCAGATGGGCAGTCCTCCTTAGCACAATTGAATAAGCTAATCTATCTCATATGTTCATGTAGAGGTCTGATGGTAGCTACTTCGTGCTGAAACATATTATACATGAGGGAGAGTCAGTAAATAGGTCACAAATGGAAGTAAAACAGCTCTAATGGATGCAGTAGTTTCTCTGTGTGTATCACTAGGTGAGTAACTGCAGATTTGGCTTCTCAAGAAGGGCTCAGCTCTATAAGTAAGTAAGTATCACTAGGTAGCAGCACAGTTCAGCTTAATGACAGTCTAGGTAGCAGATGCACATATGCAAGTTCAGAGGCTGGTTTCAGTAGTCAAAATGGTGGCCAGCTTAAAAATTGTACTATTAAAGAGTAGCCATCTTTTGTGGGGAAAAAATGATTCGCTGGACAGGATATTCATGAAGACATGTTTCCTGTTTATGGTGGAAAGTGACTGTCATGTAAAGTGGTTCACAGCTGGGGTTGAGAAGCATGGCACATGTTTCACAGGTGACAGGTTGAAACAGGTGTGGAAGTGGCTGAGACAACAGTCAGATGACTGCTATGCTGCGGGTTTCGACACACTGGTAAAGCAATGATGGGATAAGTGTGTCAATGTTGGTGGAGGATATATTGAGAAGTAAATGTTTTTTCCAGGTTTTAAATTCACATGTTTTGTGTTTTATATCCATTTATGACCTATTTAGATACTGTCCCTCATATTTGATGTATAGAAGTTGTGGAGTACTTTCTGAGATATGTTGCTGTATAGTTCCCTGGCATTTTGGACAAATGTATGACCTCCATCTTCAGGGTCAAAGACTACAACCAAGTGAGCAACAGGAAGCAAGCTGCGGGTAAAGCTTGTGAATGTTCATCTGAAATTTTTATGAACATCTACTGGACTTCATGGCATCACCTCCCAGAATATAGTACTTCTCATAATCACTGCTGTTACAACTTCAGATCTAGTACCATTGTAAAAGTTGCTGTTTCATGGAAGTGGATGTACACTGCCTTATTGACAGACATATGTGAATGTCAAGCTTTCAGTTCCTAGTGTATAATGGGAACTTGTTTAGCTGTAGTCAGTCCAGTAAACAATTCTCTAAGCCTCAGATTACTGAATTAGACCTAAACTCTCATCTTGTTTGTGCTAGAATGGCCGGATTGCACCAGATGAGGACCTGAATGAGACGCAGGGCCTATCAGCAGCTGAGATTGAGGAGCGTGAGCGGAGTCGAGAGGCTCGAGCACGGGCCACCATCTTGGAAATTGTGGGTGATCTACCTGATGCAGATATGGCACCTCCAGAGAATGTTCTTTTTGTATGTAAGCTGAACCCAGTCACCAGTGATGATGATTTGGAGATAATCTTCAGCCGTTTTGGCAAGGTGAAGAGGTTAGTTTCTGATGGTTTCATGATACTGTCCCCTTTGCTGCACCAGGATGCTTGACTTGACTTCATACTGGCCTGGTCTGGCCTGGCTTTGTCTGGTATGGCATAGTATAACAGTCTTCATGTATTTACATACTCCATAGCTCAGGCAATTGTTTGTTGGCTTCCCATCACAGTAGCTCAGGTCATGTGGGATATGTGGTGGACATAACACTACTGGGGAAGATTTTCTCCAAGTACTTTGGTTCCCCTGCCAGTTCTTATTCCATTGACTGCTTCATAATCATCTGTCATGTGGGGCTGACAAAGGCCCGCTAGTGACTAAAGTGGTCTCAGTCTCACTATACAAAATAAAAAAAAAGTGAAGTCTTCCTGCATTGTGCTTCCTAAGAGATTTGTGTGTAACCTGCTTCCAGATTATTGACTTAGAATTACAGGCAGCAGAGAAGCCAAGCTTCAGGGTTTGTGGCTTGTAAGAAAGTATAGATGAAATAAATGAAAAATTGTAAGGTTTGAGGTTTCATGGCGGTGACTATGAAGAATGTCATCTTCAGGGATGTGGCACCGTGTGACTCTTGTGTGAACTGATGTTTTCATCCTGAAGATGGAGGTGATACATTCCTTCAAAACGTTGGTTCACACAACTAACTTGGCCAGCATTTCTTCTTTCATGCATTCTTGGCTGGCTCTCATTTCCCTTAGAGTGGTGTTCGTTTTTTCTTGTTTGGCATCCATCTTTTCTTGATTGGCTTCCACATTGCCGTTATCTGTTCTTTCTTGGCTACCACATGTGTTTGAAATCTGACATAATCATCTGTCACCTGGGTTCAACTCTGATGGTGCACAATTCACAACTCAATCAGTTTGATCAATCAATCCAATTCCCACTTTTGATATTAGTTGCCCAGTTGACACATAGCATGTGTGACTGTAGACAGGGTTTGGATTGGTGAATAGATTTATTGACCACTTACAAGTCATAACTCCAAATAACACTACCGCTGTTTCCACACTTTGTAGTTCACCAGAGCACAGAGTCTAGTGTTCTCAGTCTCTCAGTAGACATAGGTAAATAATTTGGTTGACCGTTTCTCCATTTTTTGTGAAAGTTAGGCCTTTATGTTGTATGTTAAATTGCTCAAGTTTTGTTTGGGGGGTTATTTTTGTTTGATTGTATATCATGAAAAGTCATCTGTGTATCTATTATAATGTAAAATCTTTTTGTTTTCCAGAATGTGCTTTAATCTGTTATGTTTGAGATTCTGCAGGAAGTTCTCAGCTAATGTGCTGGGTAAAAGTGATCCCATTGCTACGCCCATTGTTGGTTTATAGAATTTACCTTCATATGGAAGTAATTTTGATTCGTGATCATCTTTAGAATTGACATTATGTCTCTTGTAATGTGTTCATCAGTGTGATTGTTAAGCAGTTTATTTGCTGTGTTAAGGGTATGGTTGATCGGAATTTTGACACATAAGTCTTTAGTGTCCATTGTTAATAATTTGTGTTTGGGGTTCAGCTTTAGTTTACTTTGATTTTCTGCCAGTGTGTTGTGGTAATGTTGTTATATTCGTATTTCAGATTTATAGAATCTTTAACTTTTTGGTATATATGTTTAGCTGCTTTATGTGTAGGTGTGTATGCTTGTAGATTCGAACTTAGCCAATAAAGAAGGACAAATAAAAATGGAAGTTTACAGGAAACCTACAGTGACAGACGTTGTGATAAATAACACTTCATGCCATCCTCAAGAACACTAATTAGTGAAATTTAAAAACTGGATACACAGATCCTTATGCTACCCCTCAATGAAAATAGTAAAAAGAAAGAATTGAACACTATAATAACAGATTCAAGAACTACGTTTTGGTCTTGTATAATCGGCTGAAACATAAGCAAAATAATAAGGGAAAAAACATCAGAGGGTAAAAAATGGATTACATTCACCTACACCGGAAACTACGTATGTAAAATCACAAAAGTTGCTGAAGGATGCAAACTTAAAGGTGGCATTCAAAACAACCACCACCATAGGCAAACTGTTAAGTGACACCTGCATAATGAACACATATGGACAAAGTGGTATATACTTAAGGAACTAGTAGAAGAACAGAAGAGTAAAAAAGATAATGATAACCAGAATAGTATGTTTGACATAGCGTTAAGACATGAGTTCATGCCCATAAAAACGTCACAGCAAACAGGGATATAAGTACCCCACACAACACACCACAAATCAGTGCCTCAACAAACAATGAACAGACTGGCAGCTTAATGACAAACACAGGTAGGAACATGCAAGATAAAACCAAATAAAAAAAATGCAGTCAAAATATTAAGTAAGTACATAGACTTTTACATGAAATACTCATAATATAATTAACAGTTACATATTACCAATCCCATGTGTATATTTGCTTTCATTACTGACATTTGTTGTTTATAATTTGAATAAGTTTCAAACCAATAACTCTGTATATGTGATTGGTACCAGAAGGAATGACCACCTTCACATACCTTCAACACATTTATCATCCTATCAGAGAGGGGTGTATTATTCAGGCATCAAGCTATTTAACACTCTGCCGTCAAATATCACAGTTTTAAAAAATGATAAAAAGCAATTTAAGTTTGTTTTACAAATTATTTGCAAAGTAACATATTTTACTCTGTTGATGAATTTGTCAAGCATGCAGTGGGCTCAAAAGTTAAGAGTTACTAAATGGTCTGTGTGTGTGAATTATGTATTGTTGATACTTGCTTGTTGTAAGTGTAGTAGTATGTATGATGTGTGTTTTTTGTTATGAATTTTAATATTTTATAATTGTAACTGTTTTAATGATATGGCTTGCCAGTGTGTGTGGAATGGCAAGGTGTGAATTTGACTGTGGTTTTTCCATGACCCATGTGTGTTGTCCTGACAACTTGAGCTATCTGTGAGAGGCCTGATTGTATATTTTATTGGACAAAGGACGAATGATGCGTAGTCATCATGAATTTGTAATATGTGACATGTTTTATATCCAGCCCTATGGGGAGATGGTTGGATCCATGAAGTGGGGAGAAAAAAAAAAAGAAAGAAAGGAGGCAGAGTCTTCACCAACTATATAAGGAAGCAGAAAACACTGCCCAGACCACCTAGGATGGCAATTTACCCCAATGTTCCTTTGATAGAAGAGGCATGAAGACACAAACCTTAGCAGTTTAAGATTTTAAATATTAAGAATTTTATTAACATTTTAACTCACCACATTTTATCTTAATTAAAATCTTTTTATAAAGTTTAGACAACTATGAACTTGATGTACTATGATTCATGTAATAGTAGTTTCCTCAGCGTGTTGTTATTTGCCTTTTGAAGATGGTCATTAATTGATCGAAACATGTAAAGGCATTGTATAAATATACATTTGAGTTACACTGGAGTGTGTAGTCAAATCATTCTATAAGTAGTCCACATTCTCCCACCTGTTTGATTAGAATATTATACACCTTGGTTTGAAGTGGACATGACATTATACAATATTGGATTACAGCTGTGAGGTGATACGAGACAAAGTAACTGGTGATTCGCTGCAGTATGCATTCGTGGAGTTTGAGGACCGAAAGGCATGTGAAGATGCATATTTCAAGATGGACAATGTTCTAATTGATGACCGGCGCATACATGTAGACTTCAGCCAGAGTGTGGCTCGCCTTCGCTGGAAGGGAAAAGGTATGTAGTAGCTTAGTTGAATAAACAGAGATATTTTGTGATCAGTAAGAAAAGTTTCTCTTGCAGTATCTGCTTCATGTCTATTTCTGTGTCCTCTGTCAATAGTGTGGCAGATTATGATATAGCTTAGTGCAATCAGCATAACAGTAGTAATTCTTGTTCCTTCATGACTGTCAGTTATACCATAAACATACCAGTTGTAGCTTAACCTTTAAACGCCAGACTTCTGAAATAGTGGTAAGTTTGAGCTGGCCGGAGTTTATTTAAATGCCTGCTGCTGGTGCACGTTTAAATGCCCGTTGCTACTCTGCGTTTAATTGTCTGTTTCTATTAGTGCGCCTAAACAGTTTTAAGCATTGTGTTTAAAAATGCTGTATCTTAACTCAATTTTTATGATAAATGGATGGAATTAATTTTGTTTGTATCAGCAAAGAACATACTGTCACATATTATAACAGAAGATTTGAAATTTTTTATGCAAATTACACTCTATTTTAAATTTTTTGTCCTTTAATTTTGATGAGTACTGCAAAAATGGTTTCTCAGTTCTTCACAGAATTGTTCTGCATTACAAATTCATTTCTGTTTGTAACACTTGACAAATTTTAGCAGTCCCTGATGTCATAAAACAGATGGAAGCAATAAAATCATTTGGTCTTCTGCTAGCACTGCTTACACTCTTCGGATTTTCGAATCTTTTGACTGAAGGTCAGAAGAATGAAAGAATGGCTATTCAAGAGGAAGCTAGAGGGGTCCCTTCTTCAGTGCTAAGACCTTCCGTTATAGCTGCAAAAGCTTATTGCCCTTTCTATGGGCATAAAAAGACAGCTGCATCGCGGCTGAGATTCAGAGTGCGGTTTTTTTTTCGTTGCTTTTTCGTTGCTTGCTTAGTGAAATCGAATACTGTAGTTTTATTTCAGCCTATATATACATCAAGCAGGTAACAACAAAAAAGATATGTACATCGAATTTTACTATATATTTTTAACACATTAATCTGCAGAATCTGCAATAAAAGTACTGGCTCGTGGATGAGTTTGGGCATAACTCATACGTATACTCTTTTTGTTGTTGTTCACCTAGGTATCATTTTAATTTTTCTATTAGGGCTTTACTCAAGTCTGTCTGGTAATTACTACATTTAAAAATAAATATTTAGGACTGTGCATNGCGTGTGCGCGCGCTTCCAATGGCGGAGTTTAAATGCCCGACTGGCCAAAACGGGGTACTTTTGTGATTAGGATGCATTTCAGGAAAGTTCTTTATTCTAAAGAAAATGAAATTAGGCTGTAAAAGTACAGTGGACTGAATGAGTTATCAGACTGCAGACAGTGTAAAGAGTTCCTCTGAGTTTGTAGCTGTGACTTAAAGACTGGTGATCTTGTACTTGGGCTGTCAGCAGACCAAGAGTGTCGCATCAGATGCCTTAGGCATCACAAGTATTAAGCTGCTTGGTTTGTTTCCAGGACGTGGTGTGGAGCATGTATCAGAAAAGGCAGAAATGAAACAGGACAAAAGTGGAAGAGTAAGTAACTTGTGTTACAAGATTTGGCAGTTTCATGGTACACTTGGTCGCTGACTTACGACATATGCGACTTATGACCGGCCGCACTTAGACCACACACACACACAAAAAAAACATGATTAAAATGTAAAAGTTTTTACAAATAAATTATAAAGATGGTAAAAAGATTAGAAAGGTTAAAAAATACTGTTAATAAATATATGGCCGACATACGACCTGTCAGTCAGAAAGGAAGTCTGTTGTAAGTCGACAACCAAGCGTAGTGAGTTTTGACACCATGTAGTCAGGGGAGTACCAGTGTTTTACAGTGCTGTACCCTGCCTCCATATTCAGGGCAAAAGTAAAGTTTTCCATCCGTTTAATTGATTGAGCATAGTATCACAAAGATATACTGTACAGATTTGTGTATTCATATTCCCAGTATTTGATAGAGGTGAGTAATCAGGTACTTTACTGACCAAAAGAGCTGCTGGTACCATTTTGCAGGAGGCAGGGCAGGCTTTAGAGCTGGCCTGGATGCTCTGGAGAAGAGAAAAATCTTTTGTTCATGCCAGGAATCAAACCCCAATTCCTCAGCTGTCCTTTCCATAGCCATTTCCCATCTCCCATGTTCAGGACTGAAGTGTCATGTATCAGAAGGCTACATTATTTTTTGCGTTATTCACTGGAATTTGACAAATGAATCTCAGTGAGCCTGTTCATCGAAATTGCATTGAAAAATCACTTTTAAGGTTATGATTTATGATTACTGGGTTTTTGGACTTTTTCCATAGAATGATATTCCAAACAGAACAGAACATCAATGCCCAATAATCCAGTAATTCAAAATTGAAGGGAAGGTGTGTAGCAAATCAAAACATATGTAAATGTTAACTTGAGCATTGCCTATGCATACTGGTAGTAAAAAGTAGTAGCAGAATTACACACTACAATGACATTTCAAAATAAAGGGTGACCTCCACCTTTTCTACATAATACAGAATGAAAATAATTATTTTGAGTCCTCTCTTCTGGGATATAGCGCTGTGTAGTCAATTGAAGGTGAGCTGACATTTTGGAGGAATGTATCACCTCCATCTTCAGGGTCTAAAACTAAGCCGAGCAAGAAACCAGTGTGAAAGCAGGTGGAAGGTAGAAGCAGACCTTGAAGATGGAGGTGACATGTTCCTTCAAAACGCGATTGACTTTCGACTGGATACACAGTGTTATATTTCAGAAGACAGAACTCATAACAACTGCTATGTGAACCTTAGATCCTGTATAGTTATTTAAACTGCTGGCATGCTTTTTTACAGCTATAGGATGTATGCTCATTTTAGTGATGTTGGTAACACTTTTTAAGTGTAGAGTAATGATAGATAAAAAGCTGAAGTCATTAGGCAACAGATATAGCATAGTTGCAGGTAGCTTTTTTAATTGTTTATAACCAAATATTTTAATGTAACCATATATACTGTATTTTGAGAAGAAATTCAAATGGTATGTCTGGGGATTAAAGAAAACTGTATTACAAAAAACAATATGCTTCTTGCAGAATTATCCCTAATTATGGCAACAAAATGGAGCTTAGACTGAAAACAAAACTTGAAATGATATGTTGATGTGCAGTTGACAGTTTATATCAGAAAGTGAAATAGGAATGCAGTATGGATTAACTTCTTCAACATTTCTTTGATATTAAAGAAAGATAAAATAGGGTGTATGCCAAATGCAAGCAGACAAACATTATTTCTTTTACATGTGAATATGCATTCGTGACATTTCAGAGTCACAGTTTGTGACCTTAAGATCAACATAATTTGATGAGACTTATGTTGTCAGTTGTAATATCATAGACACAGGAACTACAAATGGAATGGATCCTATCAACAGATTTTATGAAGGGGGTTATTTTCATTATGAGTGTGGTAACTTAAGTTGCTTTGATTAGATTAGGAAATTGAACATTTGTGGGTTCATGTACAGTTTATGTGGCACTACTACGATGGGAAGTCATAATGTTTCAATTATCACCATGAGAAAATCATAATTCCAAAATATCGTTCTGTATAGGAGATAGCCCATTTCCTGAGCTTGCCGAACAGTCAAATTTTCCCCACGCCAGGTGGACAGGGAGCCACCTGAAGGGGCGGAAGCAAAATGGCGATGTTGGTTGAGAAAGTGGAGGCTTGTGCTGTGATATGGTTCCTACATTTGCAAGGGAAGTCTGCCAGGGAGATCCACGACCAGATGATCGCTGTGTATCAGGAAGGTGTACCATCATATGACACGGTGGTCAGGTGGAGGAGGTGCTTTCATTGTGGACAGACAAACCTCGAAGGTGAACCCCAGAGTGGAAGATCATCTCTCGCTGAGGACCCGGGAATTGTGGTAGAGGTGGAGGCTTTGATCCTATCCGATAGTCGCATCATTATTGAAGCTATTGTTCACGAGATTCGCATTAGCCATGGGTTGGTTTTCAACATCATCCATGTCGAGTTACACATGACAAAGGTCGCTGTGCATTGAGTGCCACAATTGTTGACACCAGCTGAAAAACAAGAACAGATGGATGTTGTAAAGAAATTTTTGCAATTGTGTCAATATGAAAAGGTGGAATTTTTTGGCCACCTGATCATGATGGATGAATGTTGGGTCTATCATTATGACCCGGAAAGATGCAGACTTGCCACCACCAAAGAATGCCAAATCCCAGCCATTGTCAGGAAAGGTGATGTTGAGTATGTTTTGGGACTGGCGGGGTGTCATCATGAGTGGCGTCACCATCGCTGGTGAGTACTACTGGAACATTCTGAGAAAATTATAGGAGGAAATCAAGAAAAAGTGATGTGGAATGTTAGGAAAGGGTGTGCAACTTCTTCATGACAATGCACCGGCAGAGAAACACTCAAAATGAGACCTATGATCAAGGTATCCAACAGCTACTGCAGCGTTGGGAAAAATGTGTGGCCTTACAGGGGCCATATGTAGAGAAGGACTGACTCACATACAATATCTTGCACCTGTGTCTCTTTCTTCTGGGTGATAATTACAATTTTATGACTACCCTACGTATAACACACTTTTTACGAGTATAACAACTGGTTCACAACTGTCTCTTACATATGTAACTTCAAGGACTTGTGTGTGTTCCAATCTTTACATTTAGAATAACCTGCAGTGTAGTATATGTAGGTAAGTACTGGCATGACATAAACTGCTGCATGTATTACATCTTAGTTATGTCTGATACAAATTGATGCATTTACTCTCAGGTTGTACCAGCTGGTGCTGAATCTTTGGGTTCTGTCACCAGAGAGGCGATTAATTGAACTTATGCTATCACACTCATAATAAGACTATGCTTATTTGGAACTGAATGCCGTATAATAGAGAAGCCATTCTTCAGGACACGCTTGGTATTCTGTGACTAGGTGTGCATGAAATTATTAGCCCAACCAAAGAGATTTCCAAACCTTCATTATGTGCAATCTGCATTACTTTCTGCAAAAGAATTGACTGTATTATCTTTCTTTTTTAAATGCTCTTCATTCTTGAGAAAGTGAGTCTTCATGTTGTATTTTCTGACCACACAGAGCCTTATAACCAATCACAGAAACTTTCAACATCTGAAGACATATAAGCCAAGTAGAACAGTGACATTTTAGTCTTTGAGTTAAATTACATTCATGTTGAAAAGCCATTTTGTGATAGATATTTATTGTTGGATGACATTTAATAAGGGAAGCATACAGACACTAGGTGTGGAATTGCAGGTATACAAGAGGGCTGGCTTAGCAAGTCATGAAAAGTTTCAAAAGTGAAACCGCAGAAAGACCAGGGAAAGTTTGGAATTGTTTGCTTTGGTGATATCAAAAAACCATCAATCCTTGTTTTGTAAATATGTAAAGTTAGGAGGGTGCTGGTGCTGTAGCAGGGATATGTCCTTCAGCATTGGTGCCTGCTGTGCATGTATGAGTATATGAATTTTGGGGTGATACCAGTTGACATCAAATTCTCACTTTTCAGAAACATGATGGAAGTCTTTATGAACACCGAGGTTCAGTGGACCGTGTTGAAACCTGTGAGGTAGAGAATCAGCAACAAAGCCATGCAAATGACAGGAATAGCAGAAGAAATGAATTTGGTGGGGACAAGAACAATACACTCAAGGAATCCAGGAGGCATGATGGTGACTCTAAGCACGATTCCAGGCAGCAAGAAAGAAGAGACAGAATGGCTGCAAGGAATGACAAGGATAAGACTGTGAGGTCTAGAAATGATAGATCTAGGCATAACTCTGAGAGGAGTATTGAAGTATACAAAACAAAAAATGAGGAACATAAGAGGCATACAGATATAGACAAGGATGCAAGGTGTAGTCACAGCAATGATGAAAGTAGGAGAGTTCAGGATGTAAAAGCAAAGCCAGAACAAAGATGTAGGAAAACAGAAGATGTGAAAGGAAAGACACTTAGGGACAACGACAATCAATCTCAAAACAGGCATGTCAGGGAAGAATATGAAAGATGTAGAAAGGCAGACAAAGATGCTAGGAATGAAGAAGAAAGAAGGAATAAGAATGTAGACAGGAACATAGCAGTTAAGCGCAAAGGTGAAGGAGAAAAGAGGTTAATCACACAGGGAGATCATAAGTGTAAGGATGGTAAAGAGAGATGCAGAGAGACAGTGAAGGAGAAGAGTGACAGAGAGGTCAGAGGAGAGGGAAAGAAGCGAAGGCACTCCAGCCCATTAGCAGAGAGCAGAAAAAAGCACAAGAGATCACCCAGCAGTGACACAGAGTCATCCAGCTCCAGTGACATTTCCAGCAGCACCACTTCATCTTGTACTGAGTCCTCTGGTGAGCGAAGCAAGGCCCGCCATAAGAAACGTTACAAGAGACTTTCTAAGAAATCAAAGAAGAAGTTGAAACCGCACAAAAAGAGCCGGCGCAGGTTGAAGAAGGACTCAGATACTGAGAGCTTGTCTTCTGACAGCTCTGATAGTGGCTCCATGAGTAGAAAGCGCAACAAGAAGAAACGGAGATGGAAAGACAAATCTTCAGAAGAAGATAGTAATTCAGAACATTTAATAAAGAAGAAGGGGAAGAAGAAAAAGAAGAAAGTTGCTACGAAGCGGAAGAGAAAATCGTCAAGCTCTGAAGACTCAGAGACTGATGACACATCCAGTGACTCAGAGGATCAGAAACCCTCAAGGAAACATCACAAGAAAGTAATTAAAAAAAGCAAGAAGAATCACACAAAGAAGAAGAAGAGGAAGAAGAAGAGATCTGTGCGAGAAAGTGAGAGTGATGAATCAAGCTGTTGCAACAGGAAAGTGTGCTCATCCACAAGTGATTGATTGTTTTGTTTTGTAAGTATGGTGCTGGTCACTATCTGTGCATTAAAAATAAAACTTGGGATTCATGAAACACACTTGCACCAAGATATCTTCTATTCTGAAATGCAAGCACAAACTTCAGTGTGTGTTACTGAACCTTACACCACATTGCTCTTTTCTGTACATATTTTGTTTACAAGCAAAGTGTTCTAAGTGCAGGGAGGGCGAGACATCGCATTATCCCAAAACTTATGCACGTGTGTAAATCCATATGTCTGCTTATCAGACTTCACATTGTATTGGTATGAACTCTATTGATGTCACACTGTTTTGGAAGTTTGTCAGAATCTGTGGAAATACAGGTCAGCAGTTATGGCATCCTTTAATTATTCAGTTGTTTTGTAACATGTTGATACTTGCTCTATTGTGGAAACCCCACGAAGCATTGTCAGGTGCTGTTTGACGGTGAAAGGGTTTGTCGTGAACTTTACTCTAGCAGCCATTCTGTCTTTGAGTCATGTCCAGCTCTCCCCCGTGCTACAGTATAGAAGCAGGTGAGAGTTTTGCAGGGGACTGGGGTGAAAGACACACCAGAGACATATCACACATCAAATGTACTCCAGCCTGCATCATTACATATTCAGAAGCAGTATAGACAGTGTCACGTAACTTCGAACAAGGCTCCGCATTCCTAGTCAAATTCCGCGCATAGTTTGTGGTGGGAGGAGTTTCTTAACACTTGTTCTTCCCTCAAACCCACCCCCTTGTTTGAAATTTTTCTTCTGCACATTCAAGGTTACTCTTGGCCTTGTTCGAAGTTACATGACACTTGCTATAAGCAGAGCAGCAGCCATAGTGCACTTCTGGCATGACATAACTTCTCGCCCTTTCTATACTCTGATTTGTTTTCTGAATTTTGTGTAAATTTCTGTCCTGTTTAAGTTTATGTTATGAAGTATTGTTGCGAACTGTACTTCCTGTAGTTTCTTTACTTAGGTGGTCGCAACAGTTTATAATGGCTAGTTTGTTGGCAACTGTTTTGTGTTCTGTCAGATTATTTATGATTATATTCAGTTGCCAGGGTCATAGAGCTTTTCTGGCTTTATTCATTGCTTCCCCTACCAAGAGTGCTCAGAATAGAACACAAGATGTGTTACTTTTTCTACTGTATCATAAGGGGGGGCTTAATGCAGCAAATTTTTCATGTTACTTATCTGCCTGATAAAATTCTGGCAGAACTTATTCAAGCAGGAGGTGAAACAGTATATTCCGGGACCCATAACTCATGAATTCTGTTTGGAATAATGAGAATTTTCTTAGCAGTGCAAGGAGCCTATCAGTGAATGTACCAGTGTACAGGAAGGGTGATAAAAATGACTGTAGCAATTACTGAGACATACCACTTACCAACTTAATACACAGTTTTATCCATTGCCCATGTCTTTAGTTTGTCAATATGTAGACAGAATTATTGGAGATATCAATGCAGGTTTTGATATAGGACATCAACTACCAATCAGATTTTTTGCATTCATAAGATACCAGGGGGGAGGAGAAAATAAAGGAAGTACAGTAGGACAGTACGTCAGCTATTCATAGACTTCAAGGAAGCCTATAATTCAGTTCAGAGGGAAGTACTGTACAATGTTCTCATTGATGCACCCATGAAAGTATTTAGGCTTCTTAAAATTTCTTTAAATGAAGCCTGTAGTGAAGTCAATATAAGTAAACATTTATCTCTTACAGTTCCTATTAAAAAATTTATTAAACGAAGTAGATGCTTCATTGCCTTGCCTTTCAACTTACCTTTGGAATATGCCACAAGGAGGTTCAACAAAAAAGCAGGTGGACTGTATTTGAACGAGATATTTTCTGGTCTATACTGATATGAATTTATTGAAAGGTAACATAACACCATGAAGAAAACAGAAGCTCTAATTGATGCTACTAAGGATGCTGGTCTAGAATTGTATGTGGTGGTGTCACACCAGGGCAGAATCATAACATAAGGATGATTATAGACCCTTTTAAAATGTGGCACAATTCAAATATTTACGAATGACAGTAACAAATAAAAATTTCATTCAAGAGGGAGTTGAGAGCAGACTAAGTTCAGATAATATTTGCTATCATTTATTTCAGGAACTTTTGCCTTCTCTCTGAAAACGAAATATACCAAACTGTTTTGTATGGGTGTGAAACTAGACTTCTGACATTAAGGCAAGGACACAGACCCCTTACTAATACAAGTAATTAGGTGGTCAGTACCTAATATAGGCTGATGTACGCACAGTGAACACCGAGGGTGGGATGGATGGTGTAGCCCCAAAATGGAATTGAGAGACACTGGAGACTGCAGACTGGACGCATGATATCATGCTTTTCGCTTTTAAATGTGGCAGACCGGTCGCATGATATCATGATTTTAGGACATGTTAGGTTGTAACACACTATACCTTGCTCTGGCGCCATGCAACTGCAATGAATACTGCATAATAAATCTTCGGAATGTATTCAGTAACTTGATCTGGCTGGCTAGGGTCCCTACTCCAAAAGAAAATAAACTTTGCCCCTTCCAGCTGTTTATGTACCAGGCAGGAAGTTAGTAGAGGGGAATATGTTTCAAGGACAAAAGCGGTTGAAGGCAAAGTGATCTCTGACTTGTTTTCCGATGAGCTATCTGACATGCCTTATGGAGTAGTAGTGATTAGTGAATCCTTATATATGAAGCCATCTAAATGGCATACATCATAAAGCTCTCCCATCAGTAATACCAAGATTGCAGTCTCAAATTTCTGAGACAAAACCTTAGGCTGGTATCATTTCAAATGCCCCCCCCCCACTTTATGAATGTTCTGATTACAGATTTTCATCCTTACAGAAATTACAAGATATGACAAGATTCAGAATGTGGGACATAAATTGGCTTTCAGATAACTTCCGACACAAATTAAAATTGTTTTAAATATAAAATGCAAAACAGTAAGAAATTAAGCCCAAACTATTTTCTTTTTAAGAATTGATTGTCTTAGAAATTCAGTTTGCATATGTACATGCATCTGACATAGCAGGATATGCAACTGGTCACAGGATAGCCTATCTGCATGCATCAGTGATGTAAGGAGATGTTTTGTAGTGTATGAGTACTGAGAGCAGATGGTAGGTTCCCCCACTTTACCTATCAGTTTCATAGTCTGCCATTACTTCAAAATGAAATGACACTACCATTTTTGCTACCATCTAAGAGGTAAGTGAATCCATTTTGGGGACTGTTCTGGACAAAGGAGTAAAGACTTAAAAACGGTATCCATGGACACAGCCAAATATTTCACTGACAATAGCTTGTGGACATCCCTATAAAGAATTCCCTGCATTACTCCTGGAACCACTGTGATCCTGATTATGTATCTGATCTGGAATTATGGACTGCTGATGCTGGTGTTCAAGTACCCTGACATCTCCATGAATACACAACACTATGAGACCTCTCCACCACCATCACGAATAAATGTTCCAGCATGCTTGTGAAGGTTGTCATAATGCTGCATGCCTGTCCTCATATAGCCTGCATTGTCCAGAATACTGGAAAGTGTTGGGGCATCCCCATAGCCCCACCCTGTCAGCACTGTGACTCCTATATATTTGGCTGCTCTCAGGAAACTGTCAGAAGGACATAGATTTGGATCAGACAAAGATGTCAAGTGCAGTGGTTTCAACTCCATGGAGTTTTCTGCAGAGAGGATCCATCAGCTAGTGTGTCAATGCCTCACCACCCATGGGGGATAGTCTTTAAAAACCTCTACTCCTTCACCCAGAATAATCCCTATACTGGTTTCATCTGAACTTCATACCTTCAGGGCTCAGTCAGAGAGTAGCATCTTGTTTTAGGCTGCATAGCACATTGCCTTTATTTAAAATGTATGGAAAGAGGCCATCAAGTTAAGTGTAAGCAGTGCACTTAAAAGATCATGCCAAACCACCTTTTATTTCTTAGAAAAAATGTGTTTCTGTGACAACTGATGACATGTATACACTTGTAACATGGGAATCGATGAAAAAAGTGGGTTTTACAGAATTTTATGATATAGATACATACAAAAAACTCATTCCTTCCATAAGTCTGTGAGTGTTTAAATTGGTATGGCTACACTAGGCTACTTGATCTGTCTAATAAACCTGGCACTACAAGGATTAATAACAAAAGAAAACATATTTCATAGTATTTTCAGAATTACTGAATATGTAAAAGAATATCCTGAGTCTGTTCAATTTAATTTGTTACACATTTTCCTTCAACAAATAATTAATAAATAGTACAAATACAGTTATATTTCAATAATAAAAAAATGTAGTTAGAGAAAACATTCACTTAGAGTTGAATGGAACAATATTAATTAAAAAAAAAATCAGTGCTAATCCACTGTGAATATTCGAGCAGCTATATCATCAATAAGCCAGTTAATTCCTTCAAGAAGATTTTGTCCTGTAATAGCACTGCACCATACTATCTTCCAGTGATGAGTCTTGATTGATTCTAACTCCAGTACCTACAACAAAAAATAAGATTTATTTAAAACCAGTATAAAAAATAAGGGAAGCTGGAAAAATCAGTGAACTTCCCTCAGTTGAAAAATAATCATGCATTGCTCACAAATACATCATCATATGAGAAACATACTATTTTTATTAGCTGTCCATACAAAATTCACAGTGCTAACTAAACACTTGCTTTATTTATCAAACTTACGACATACTTTGATCAAATGCTGATCATCAGGTTGCGCTCAATGCATGTCCTCCAGTGCTTCACTAATGCCGGATGCCTTGCGAAAAAAAATCCTTTGGCTGCATGAACAGCCACTCATACACTACCTCTTACACTTCATCAGATCAGAAAGTCTCTCCATCAAGAGCCTGAGCCATCCAAAGATATGCTTGCCTTCTTCAGTTCAGGTCTCTTCTTTCATTTGGGAGCAAGCTGGCTCCTCCACAATAGCCTGTCACTCACTTTCCAGAGCATGGTGGAAAATCCAACTGTTAGGTCTACAATATCCACCTCTAGGGTCTGCCAAAGGGCCTTACTGAGTGTCCTCCCAGAAGTATCCATTGTTTTATGCTGCGTTCTCCTGTGCTGCTGATGAATGCCTTGCCTGGCCCCTATACGCGTGGTTCTCTTGTAGTGCAGGAAGGGTACTGTCTGTGTCAACTGTTCGATAGTGGTGACAAACTCCTCCACGGGTCCATCATGGGTTTGGGTCCCTCTTTTCAGTTGATTGTGGGTACCTTGCAGCCAGGTGCCAGTCCCCAAACTGGTCCTCAGTTACTATGATAGTCTCCTTGTACATTCCTCCTTTAGGGTCTCCATGTAGAGCACTGAAGCCTGGACCTGTGGGGTGGTAAGAATGTGTATGGCTTTCACGCGTGGCACCCATTTATAAGGGTCCATTAAGGCCTCTAGCTTTTCTTGATTGGCCTCAGACTCTGTGACCTCAGTTCCTTCCAGGCCAGTCTTAATTCCACTCTCATTTGTTCCTGGCCAGCCTTTATCGTGGTCTCAGTCCTCCCTAGAGAGACCTCTGCTGCTCCTAGGCAGACCCTCATCTCCTCTAGGTTAGCATCCATCAGGGCTTTCATCCTTTCCTGGTTGATCTTCACCTTGGCCTTAATTTCTCCTTGGTGGGCTTCTATTTCTGCTGAATGGGAATCCATCTTGGCTTTCATTTCTTCTATGGTGGCAACCAAACATCCAAAATCCACCATGATTATCTGTCACATGGCTTCCAAGCCAATGATTCAATTAATCCAACCACATGGATCAAACAATCCAATCTAATCAATCCATATTAGAGTCAATTTTACCGACAACACAACATACCTTTACTACTATCACACTACATGTTTCAACCTCAAGAGGTCATCCTCAGGTGTATGAACACAGCTGTATAATTACACACAATCACATTCGTAGGTATGTTGTGTGGTCGGTAAAATTGACTCTAATATTGATTAAATACACAACAGGATGCAAGAAACAATTAAAGCTAATCAATCCAATTTATCCCACTTCTGAAAGCAGCTGTCATGTGTTAGTGATTAGACAGAGGGTTTGGATTGGTAATTAGATTTACTGAACACATATAACTCATAACTACAGGTAGCTTAAGTTTCACGGGTCTACACACTCTACAAACCACTGTACTGCAGCACACACGGTCTTCTACAACTTCACCAGTTGTTGCCTGGTAACGGTCAAACAGTGGAGATTCTTCTGCTCTAGTGCTTGTGTCACTGGTGGATGGCTATCATCTCACAAATGTGAAGCTGTCCCTGCACTTAATTAAGAACTGTGGCATAAAGACATAGGGGGGAGTGGAGGTATAGCTCCACCAGTCTTGACCTCAGCACTAGATGGAGGTGAGTGATCAACTTCATGCCCTGGTCACTTCACTCCCAGGGAAATCAGCCCTGGTACCCATTGGATAGGAGGCTGGTTGGTCCCCAGAGCCAGTCTGGATGTCGTGGGGAAGAGCAAAATCTTAATCCTGATAGGAATCAAACCCCGGCCCTCCAGCCCATAGCCCGGCATTATACAGACTACCCAACTTTATATCTACAATTTTATATACATTAGGGGGTTGTAGGATGCAATTTAAAGATGTATGATAGTGTAATAGGCTTAAGAGATCACAATTGAACATGTGCATGTGTAATGGAAGAGGGGGGGGGGGAGAGCAAGAGAGAAAACATGTTTGTGTATCTGTCCTTCAAACTTTGAACCAGTTGACAAATTTTCACCAAATACGGTGTGGGCATTATGCCCCTGAAAGCCACCCAAATATCACAATCAAAGCAATAAATACATGATGGATGAGCAGTCTTGTAAGGAGGGGCTGACACTACCACCATTTAATCTATGATCCAGAAATGATGTGTGGTAGCACTTAAAAATATAGCCACATTTTTTAGCACATTCAGGTCCAGACGTATGAAACCTTCACCTTTCACAATATACAAATCTGTGTAATTTCAGAGCTAAATTTCTGGTAGTTCAAAACTTTCTGTTGCTGGAAGAGAAAAAAATAAGCATCTCTCTGGTATCTAGAATAGAGTACAATTATGGTCTCATTACTAGTTTCATGTATTGGTACAGAAGAAATAATGAACAGTGAGCCTCATCAAACCGTAACGTTGCAGTTCCAAACAATGTGATGTGGTTATGTCACAATACTATGGTTCCAGGCATCAGTGTGTTACGGTCACCTTTTTGTAGATTTGTAGATTGTAGAATAACAGTTTAACAGTGATATCTAATGGGCCACGAAGGTGAAAATTGATATGAAGATGGATAACAAAGATCCCACTGTTTGTAAGTAAACAAATATGGACACGGAAATGACATGAAACCATGAGGTTATATCCGACAAATTTATCATAGACTGTGCAGTGAAGAAAAAATTGTGGTGGCAGCAGTAGCAGTCCACAAAATCCCATAACTGGACCCCACCATGAGCCAGGTAAATCCAGTCCTCATTCTCACGCCTCATTTCTTTATCTTCTTATCTATGACTAGATCTCCCAAACAGTCTCTTCCCTTCTGGTTTCCTGACTAAAACTGGTATGCATTTCATGTCCCTCCCATGCATGCCACACTCTCCACCCATCTCATCACCCCTGTCACCTATAACAGAAAAATTATGAAGCACCTCATACCATTTCCTCTAGCCTCCTTTAACTTCCTCTTTTCTAAGCCCAAATATTTCCCAAGGCCCTGATCTCAGATACCCTCTTTGATCCTCCATCATAGTGAGAGATCAAGTTTTCACCTCCCATATGGAATAACAGGCAACAGTATACTTCTGTATACCATGTTCTAATCTTTACATTTTCAGATTGGAGACAGGAAGACAAAAGAAGCTGTATAAGCGTCCAGCTGATAACCATAAAATTCAGTAAGTTTTATTTAATAAGATACTTACATCTCTTATTTCTTCAGCAAGTAATGCTCCTGGCAAATCTCGCTTATTAGAGAAGATCAGTAATGTTGCTCCAGCTAACCTCTGAGTAAGAAAAAAGAAAGAAAGAAAGAAAGAAAAAACAACAAACAAAGGATATTAAATATTTCAAACACACACTGTTGGCAAGGTCAATTTTTTTTAGCTCCAAAGCATCAGACTTCACAGGTTTCAAACAGGGATTACAAATTCTATGTAATTTACCCCTTAATCGAAATTCTGGACAATATTTTCATTGAATCTGGAATACTTGAGACACCTGTTAAGATTGATAAAAATGTATACATAAGATGACTAGCAAAGTCTGTACAGGCAAACATTTACCTTATTCTTTCCTGGTTCAGACTGGACTAAATAAGAGGGTGCATTATTCCAACTGCTTTCCTAATATTGTTGTAGAATATACCATCAGAAAAAAATTCAAGAGAATCAGAATGGGCTGGAACTGAATGGCTTTAGTTAGATGCTTGTTTATGCAGAATACATTTATTTGTCAGAGAAGAAGATGTATCGTAATGCTTATCTTATACTGGTGCAATCATTTACAGTTTGTCATGAAGGTGATGTTCACTGGATGGAGCAGGACTTAGGGTTAGATGTGGATTCTGTGAATTCCAGTACCGATTATCTTGTGTGCTCTGTAGGCCAACAAGAAGAGAGCCAAACTCTCATTCCGATATTTCTGGTTCACCAAAATTACCTTCCTCAGGTGCTCTTCTTTGTCCCAACATAGTCTAGTACCATTGGAGAAGGGTGGTGCATGTCATGCTTAATCTGAGGTGTCATAACACTTCCTGCAACAGTCGCAACTCAAAGTTCCTGCCTTGGTTGCTATGCCCTCAGGACCCCAAAGTGTCAAGAAGTTGGACTCAGAACATCAGCCACATAGTTAGGGACGGCATGAACCTATGGCCACATGGTGAATTATTCAATGACAATTAGGAGGTATCAATATCCCCCTGCATCTTCACAAATGGTCCTCCAATAGCGATAGCAATCAAATCAAATAGTGCAATGTGTGGCATTGCAGGGGGCATATGTAGAGAAGGGCTAATTCATATACAATTTCGTGCACCTGTGTCTCTGTTTCTTCTGGGTGATAATTAAAATTTTATGACTTCCCATGTATAGGTCCAGTGAAGGGCCCCTAAAAGTTGGAGCAGATAATAATTGTCCTTGATATTCTCAAAAAATCTGTGTAACTCTTTTATATAAAGAACACACCTCTTCTTGAAGAAGCGCATGCAGTTCTTTTCTACAATCATCCAGTCTTCTCTTGTCGGCACTATCAACTACCCAGATCAATCCATCTGTTCTTTCAAAGTAGTTTCTCCAGTAAGAACGAAGTGATTTTTGGCCTCCAACATCCCAAATATTTAATTTGTACCTGAAAGAATATTACATCTACACTATAATGTACATTCTGATCTCAGTAACAAACTTCCTCATTTCAAGTGAAATTAAGGGCTATAACTTGTCATGTGATATGTATGAGATGATTAGGGTGATCACACATACCAGCCAGAGAACAGTGGCAGATGTACACAAACTAGATGATGACTAGCAAGGGAAAACAGAATTGCTCTGAAAAAAACACTCTCAATTGCAGCTCTCTCCATCATAAATCCCACATCGTGACAAAAATTTGAGCAATGGAAATTAATTCTACAATATACTCCCACAGATCTGATGAGGTATGTCTGTACAGGAACATGAGGTCACTACTGGTTGCACTGTATAGTGACACACATTACCAGCTGTATTACAGACAAATATTCTTCCCTTGTATTTTGACATATTTTTGTACCTCTCCCATATATCATAATCAGGTGCAGGTTATACTACTTCAGTATGATTTAATTCAGCTTAGGTTCTGTTTTACAGAAGATAAAAACACAAATTTTATAAGAAGTTTGGTGAAAGATATGTGGATATGTGATAAAGGGGCTGATGCTGTCAGTGTACTGCAAATTAGTAATTGATCAAAGCACTTTTTATGACATACTAAATAAGAACAAATTAAAAATTCATCAAGCTACTTTTTATATATTTGTAGGATGGGGTAAAGACTGACCTCTCTGCCCCTTAAGGACAGGACACCCTTTATGTAGACATTTGTTTATACTGAGTAAAAGTTGACTTCCTAATTCAATCCAACAATTTTCAGTTTTAAATACTCTTGGACACAGTCATAATTCCACAATTATTGATGATGCATGTATAAACTTTGCACTTGCCTTCAGAAAAACTGCCATTGGACACCAAATTTTGTATTTATGATTTTTTAAAATAAAGCAGATATTCACAAATTTGAAGACACACGAGCCTAGTGCATTTCAACAACTGCCAAGCTTCATTAATTAATATCCATGGCTTTCTTAACAAAAGACTAAAATTCTAAGGAAACTGTTAATTTATGGATATAAACTAGCACCATAAAAATGATGGAAAATGATGATGTGGTTAAAACTTAATTCACTTCCATATGAATTGATATGGAATGACCAATGTAACTTAATAGTATCTAAGAAAAGAAATATATCACTATTAACAAATAAACACAAAAAAGACAATACCCTTTATGTTCTAATGTTTTAATATTAAAACCTAAAGTTGGTGAAATTGTATCAATTTCTTCTCCATTGAATTTCTTCAAAATAGTGGTTTTCCCAGCATTGTCCAAACCTCTGACATCTTTGGTAAAGGATCTTTCAATCATTTAATATCTTTACATATGTGCTTTCATCCTGTTGTCACTATGTATTTATTTACTCCGTATATCACAACAAACTCGCTTATAAATAAACTGAAGGCACGAGCTATCGATGAAATCAGTATTTATTTACTAAGAATGCAAGCTACATGTTTCGGTCATATATAACCATCACCAGGCGTTTCAAGTATTAAAATGTGTAAATGTATGTTATTGGACTGCTTGTGGCAATGGTCGTAGATAGTCCTGCCTTACACAATCTTTTTTGAGTTTATAATATAAAATATACAGAATTATTACATTAGGTAAGTCTATTAGTTAAATGAATGTATGGGGGGTTGGTCTTCTCGGCCCTTGCACCGCGACCTATAGTGGTCTATTGTAGTTACTGATTTCATCGATAACTCGTGCCTTCAGGTTTCTATTTGGAAGTAAGTGTGTTGTGACAGGCGGAATGAGTACATACACAGCAATCATTTAATAATTCATTTACGTCGTATGACAATACTGGAGTGAAAAGGATACAGCATTAATATCCTCATTTCCTTTTCTTTCAGCTTCATTTTCTTCAAAATTGTCAAAAGACCCATATTTCTGTCGGAATAACTTTTAATTCACAACTAATTTATTTACATACAAAATTACTCGCACTTATTTGCAACTTCACACTTTCTTACTGCTCTTACTGACGCGTGCCTAGACACTGTTGAACCTGTTGAAAGTGGCGAAGGTGGAAGGGAAACACGGTAACCACGGTAACTACTGCCTCTATGTGTGGAGGCAGATACTACACACAGCTCTCCACCAATCAGAGAATCAGAGAGCCTACAATTCCCGCAATTATATGCGGTAATGGTGGTTCATTGCCGGTCACGGTAGCCGAGCGGTCTAAGACATGCACTGTTCTCGCTCGCTCGGAAGCCGGGATCGTGGGTTCGAATCCCACTCAGGGCATGGATGTTTAGTTTGTGTGTGTGCGTTTTTCTGTGTTAGTGTACAGGTAGAGGCCTTGCGACGAGCTGATCACCCGCCCAAGGAGTCCTACCGATTGTGTAAGATCCAGAAAAACCGAAGCGAACGGAGAAGTTCATGGAGGTGGGCCTAGGCCCACTGGGGCTGTAGTGCGAAAGGGGAAAAAAATGGTGGTTCATTATATGCAAATTGGTATATATGAATTTTGATTTGATGTGGTTGTGAAACGGAAGTAGACATTTACGAACGAAGTCACATCTCCAGGTTAAACATATTATTTGTGTATATTAATGTTATGCTTACTACCACAAATGAAATTAGAATTATACAGAATTCTTTCAAGCCCAGAATTTTTGAGGTTATGATGAACTATCATTTAAACGATATTTATTTTATAATATTGAAACGTGTTTGGACTAGGTACTTCCATGGCAACGCAATAACAGTGGGCCGTTGCATAGAGAATGCCGAAACAACGAACGCGTTTCCCCGGAGATGGACAACAAAAGGTTCGTTGCGCAACAACGGACTGTTGGTTTTATGCCAATTTCCTTACCTTGAATTTCAGTAAAACTCAATATTTGGCTTTTCGATGTATGAAACATCGTAACATCGTTACCCATATTAATTATGATCAGACATTTATCCCAAATGTATCGGAAACTAAATTTCTTGGTTTGAGTACTGATGATATGCTGTCTTGCAAACAGCATATACTCGTAGATATGGTCACCAGTAAAATTTCCTCTGCATGTTTTGCACTTACAAATATAAAATATATAGTATAATTTGAAACTTTAAGGCTAATTTATTTTGCTCATGTACACTTTTACGAGTTACGGGATAATCTTTTGATATGGCTGCTCTTAAGCTAAGAAGGTGTCACTGTCAGTCAGTAATAAATATCTGGTCGCAAGTCCCAGATGGGTGCTCTAAGCCAAGACAGACTCGCCGACTGACCGTCGGTCGCAAAATGAGACTCAGTCTCAGCAGTCGGTCAGTTGAAATATAACAGCCGCCGGAGTCAGTTGTAAAATGGCGGCCGCGAAGTGACAGTGAAGTTTCTGCATCAGTTGAAGTCAGTTGAAGTCTAGCACTCGCCGAGTTAGCTGGATCGAGAGAATGGAATCGCAGAAGCAGTAGAGTCATGAGCGGTCATGAGCCCCACAGATATTTATTACTCTTTGACAGTTACGGTCTTGTTTTTGTGGGGCGCCCTCTCCGAAGAAGGGATGAGTGTGTCTTTTATATATGCTGCTGGCCCTTTCCATCGCAATCTTTCTCGGGACCGAGTTCCTTGGGACTCGCGACCATATTTTACTGTCTCAGATTTGAGACTTCCCTTTTCGTAGCCTTCTACGACTCGCAGGGTCATGGTGGAGGTATTCGACCCCGCCTCCACTCGCGTATCAAGTCGAAGTCAAAGTCAAAGTCAAAGTCACATTGCAACTGACAGTCAGTCAGTCAGTCAGTCTCGGTGTCGAACCCAATCTGGGGCTTATGACCTAATATTTATTACTGTATGACAGTTTAGGTCTTATTATGATGGGGCGCCCTCTCTGATGAGAGGACGGGTCTGTCTTTTGTCAGAGACATTGTCTGCAGTAGTAAGTCATTTGTCATAATGGAAAGGATGTTTGCATTTTACATGTTAAACATGATGGTAAATGTATTAAACGTATAGTCGTTAAGGACCTCTTGGCAGTCCAGGTTCAGTACAGCAGATTATGTCCTATTTCTAGCAGCTTCCGCTACAACGGCAGCCTAGTCACTTGAAGACTCGGTTATCTACCAGAGATCCTCGCTGTATAGTTTTGGGGTGGATCCATAGAAGACACCATTACATAACATTCCTTTATTGTTGCAGAGGTGTGTTTACCTTGCCATTGCACAGAAACAGCAGTCGCATGCGTATTCTTTGCTGCGGGAATGTGTTTACAGAGCCGTTGCCTAGCAATGAGCATATGCTCTGGTTCCACTATGCTGGCTTTCAGGCGTCATGGCACAGAATTATAAGTATTTCTCTTAATATTACATAACAAGGAAATTTTTGTAAAAAAATATTGCTTTTTATCTTCAAAAAGAAATGGAAGACTGCTGTGACATATTCTCACTACCACAAGAAATCAGGACTCTACGGACAACGAATGACCAGTGCCACTTAAAGAAAAGCAAGGAAAATCCTGTGGCTGTTTTTTCGAGTTTTTATCGTCTGCGTAGGAAAGTTCGGTGCGTATATAAGTAATTCGTGATCGATCGTGATCATCGTGATATATAATTCCGTGCATTCCGTGCGTTGGGTAACAATGGCGTCCACTGGTTCAGCGTGTAGTGGTGATGCTCCTCGTGATTTTCATTTATCACCTTCAATAGAAGATAGTGGCAGTAGATTCAGTACTTCCGTCGAAAAGTGTCCTTTGTGCAGTTATAACAGAGGGACATTCTACTGCAAGCAGTGCATTCAGGAAGGAAGTTTCATTCATTCTAATAACCATTACGCTGAGAGGTACAGAAACGAAAAATATTAATGCATCATTGTACCGTCACAGTAGATGCTGTTGAATTGTATTGAATATATAATTTAAATAGAATAGACTCATTGTGGGTTTGGAATGAAAATGTACAGTTTTCTCTCCAACCATGCTTTCTGGAAGCTTAATATTTTCCTTTCATATTTGTCTTAATTTAGGTTAAGTTGTTATTTGTGTTTACGTTTTGGCGATTCATTTTATTTTCAAGAGTTCGCAGCTTGGACGTATGTTTTTGAAGGAAAGTACTCACGAAACAAGCTCGTCTTTAAAGACATATCGAAAATAAAATTTAAGTTCCATGGAGTGTGGCCAATATGCATTATGCTGCACAAGTTCTGGCCTAGCCAGACCGTTGTCAAGAGGCTTTCAAACATAATAGAAGGAAATTATTTTACATGTTTTTGCAACATTCATGGGTCTAAGAAGTTTGTTTAAAACTGGCTTCTTAGGCAATGTAAACATAGTACAAAATAATATAATTAGTGAATAAATAAAACTAATATTAGTAGGGTATTTGATAAAAGACTAATGGTTGAAGTATAGCAGCTTGTTATGGACCTATATTATTTTTAACTTAAGAAGAATATATAGATGCCATTATTTGATAGATTAGAATGATCTAGATCTAGAATACTGTACACATGCATTAGCATTACTAACAAAACTAATTCCATGGAGATGAGCCCGTCATGAGAAGCCGCCAGTTATGCAGCTATTCAAGAATTTCCCAACATTTTATGGAACCTGAAGATTCATTACCACATTCACAAGAGCCCTCCACTGATCCCTGTCCTTAGCCAGATCAGTCTAGTTCATACTACCATATTGTATATCTCTAGGGTCCATTTAATATTTTCCACTGACCAACATCTTGATCTTCCTAGTAGTTTATTTTCTTCCAGCTTTCTCAACAGAACTGTATACAAAATTTTTCTCTTCTCCCCTATTCATCCTACATTCCTTGGCCCTCTCATCCTCCATTATACTTGGCTAAGAGTACAAGTTATGAAGGTCATCATTATGCAGTTTTCTCCAACATCCTGTCACTTAATCTCTCTTCAGTCCAAATATTCTCAACACCTTGTTCTTGGACACCCTCAGTCTATGTTCCTCCCTTAATGTCAGAGACCACGTTTCACATCCATACAGAACCACAGCCAAAATTATAGTTTTTTATGTTCTAATTTTTATGTTTTTAGATGACAGATGAGAAGATAAAAGGTTCTAGACTGCACGGTAGCAAGCATTACCCAAATTCAGTCTCCACTCTGTTTCTTCTTGAATCCGGTTTTGATTTGTTATAGTCGTTCCCAAATATCTGAACTGTGACACATTATCAAAACATCTCTTACCTCTCTCTATATTACAATATTGCCCTGTAACCTGGTGACAAGATGGCAATATACTATATTTAGCTTTCTATGTGTTTACTTGTAGACCAACCTCCTTATTAGCATCAGTTAAAGTTTCTATGTTTTTTCTTGATGTTATCTATATTATTATCAAGTAGATTCACATCATCAGCATAGACCAACATCTGATGTGTCTCATTTAATTTCAGTCCCCACTGGTTTATTCTAAAGCAAAGTTGAAAAGGAGTGGCAATAAAGCATTTCCTTGCTTTAGTCCATTCTGGATAGGGAAACTGTCAAATGTTTACCTGTATGGACCTTACCATATGTTTCATTTAAACACATTTTAATTAGCCTGACTAGTTTCATGGGTACCCTAAACTCTTATGAGAATATTGTACAGTACTTCCTGCCTAACGAATCATAGGCTTTCTTGAAGTCTGCCAATAGCTGATGTACTGTCTCTTTGTACTCCCATTTTTTCTCCAGTATTTGACAAATGCAAAAGATCTGATCAGTAGTTGTTCTGTTATGTCAAAACCCACACTGTTGATCCCAAATAATTTCATCTCTATATGGACTTAATGTTGAGAGAAGATTATTGGACAGAATTTTGTATGAAGTTGATAGCAGTGATATCCCCCGATAGTTACTACAGTCAGTTTTATCACCTTTCTTGTGAACTGGTACAATGATAGACTCCTTCCACTGATCAGGCAGTTTTTGAATAGCGTAGTTGGTTGAGGGGCTATGCTACAAGCCAGAAGGTCGCGGGTTCAAGTCCCGATGAGGGCATTGGATTTTTTTTCAATTGACCTAATCCTTCCAGCTGCACTATGGCCCTGGGGTTGACTCAGCCTCTAACAGAAATGAGTACCAGAGTGTTAAATAATTTTCCTGGGAATTAAAGAATGGCCAGCGCATAAGGCTTGGCCAGCGCATAAGGCTGACAACCTTACCGCCATCTTTGAGCTGATTGTCTAGATAATGTGGGACCCTTAACATCTCACAACCCTATGGACCTTCATGGCCTGTTACAGGGATAGCTTTAATTTTTTTGTTTTTACCAAATAGAATTAATTAGCTTATTAATCTTAGAATGTAATATTTCACCTCCTGCTTGAATAAGTTCTGCCAGAATTTGATCACTACCTGGTGATCTGTACCTTTTCAACCTTGCAATAGCAGTTTCAGCCTCAAAAGGACTAGGATCAGGTACTCATGGCTTAGCTGTATGTATTTCTGTCTGCCTAACATCACTGACCCTGTGTACATTTCAATAGATGAGAGAAGTAGTTCTTCCACCTATTCAGTATGTTGTGGGAATCTGCAAGCATGTCACCATTCTTATCATTCACTAAGTTTCTTCTAGGTTGGTAACCCCTCTTAAATTCATTTATTCCTCTATACAGGTCTCTAACGTTCTTGTTCTTACTGTTCACTGCAAGCTCATGAATTTTGTCTTTCCGATATTCTCTCTTTTTATTCCTGAAATGTTTGCTGGCTTCATGTCTTATATTCAGATTATTCTCATTTATTTCGCTTGGATCCTGTAACCAGAATAATTTGGCTTGTTTCCAATGATCTAATAATTTCGAGCATCTTTCACAAAACTTCTTCAGTTCATGATAACCTAGACTCTCTTTGGGAGAAATTTTGATGCACTTTCTCATAGTTTTCTATGGTCTATTAATGTCAAGCTCAGCATCTTAAGTTTTACACGTCTGTGAACCTGTTTGAGATTTCAACATGATACTGCTCTTTACCCTCTACCTCATATAATTTCTTGAGACGAACTCTCGATATGAAATATGTGCATTGTTTGTTTACTTACTGGCAGACTGTCCCTAACTGCCACCACCAGGTAGTGGTCAGTATCGCAGTCTGCTCGCCTGAATGACTGGACATCAGTTACACTTGGATGCCAGCTCCTATCTAACAAACTATTGCCAATTTGAATGTTAGTATTTCCATAAGGAGATGTCCAAGTAAATTTATGGATGTTACAATGTGTGTGAACATTGTAGTCTTGACAGTAAGATTTTTGGATGTGGCAAAGTTTACCACTCTAACTCCATTATCATTACTAATTTTGTACAAACACTCACACCCAATTGTTGGTTTGAAAATGTCTTCCCTCCCTACTTTGGCACTGAAATCTCCTAACAAAATTTGCATAGGGTATTCAGGGAATCTCTTGAATACACATTCTGTTTCATTGTAGAAACTCCTTCAGACCATCACTTTTATACCCTGTTGGACCATGAATATTTGGAACAATTATATCATACCTGAAACTTTTTAATACTTGTATTATGTACTACATCATATCACAAACTACCCTCGTAACTGCTGATATGTACAAAAAAGTGTGTACCTAATTTATGATTATCATTCTCCTTTCCATAGAAAAATGTATATTCACCTGCTGGTTCAGTACCACCTGTGCCCTATTTGACCTTTACTCCCTCTAAAGGTAACACATTTTGATACTTCTATCACACTTATTACTTTCTGCATACCCAATCCTGTATCCATTTTCCTTAGCTTAGGTCATTTATCCAAATATTCCATCCATGTCCTAGGTCCTTTGTGACACTTCATAACAATCTTGTGAGGAGTTAGCACCATGCCTAACCTCCAGCCTGGAGACCATCCCTTGTCAGCTGTCTGCTACTGCTTATTCGGTATATTACCAGCTACCCTTCATATCTGGAGGCTGTCTCCTCCAACTGCAACCTGAGGACAAACCATGCTGTAGTGACAAAAGACCCACTTAACATGGTTAGCCTTCATTGGTGAGAGATTATCAGACAGATGAACATTATTTAGGAGCAGAAAGAGACCTAGCCATTCGTTGAAAGTAAAAGTAACAGGGGAAAGCTTGTATAAAATGGTGTGATTTAAATATTATTGCAGCAGTAGTAACCTTGAATTGATGGTCTGAAAATCAGAATTCTCAATTCTCCTGGCAAGCTGCAATGAAACCTCTATTTTATGATCTCAGACTTTATATTTTTTTTGTAAATTTGTCAATTTTTGTCAATTTTTGTCAATTGAGGAAGGCCAGGGCTCACAAAGGGCTGTCGTGCCAGTGATGATGATGATGATGATGATGATGATTGGCAGGTGAAACTGAAGTACTCAGAGAAAACCTGCCCCAGTGCCACTTTATCCACCATAAATCCCACTTGGACCCGGGGTCGAACCCAGGCCACTGCGGTGGGAAGCAAGCAACTAACCACTTCAGCTATGGCGTGACCTTACAACACAAGTTTTATATTATTTTGATAAAATTAATGAAGTTAAGGTGGCTAGAAGAAAAGTGGGAAAAGATGGTGAGCAAATATATA